AAATGGTTCTCAGGGCTAGCTCCATTGTTTGTCACACTGGACTTTTTTAATGGTGTGGGGGAGATCCACACAGTGCCATAGTACTTCAGAGCCCATGATTTTTTGCACTGCAGAGGTGTTTAAAAAGGCACTGAAGGCTGATTTATTATTGTAGGCTTGATGATTGCTAAACAGCTGTTATTATTTATTCTTAAAAAAAAAAAAGGTGGCATTGGATGCAGTATTTTAGTCTGGTATCCCAAACCCTCATCTGTGCCAAGCCACAGCCCCTAATTGCTGAGGAGGACAGGACAGGAGCCAAGAGACTTCTTGAAATCCAAGCGAGTGGCGGAGTTGACAAGCTGCCAGGGAACTGAAGTCCCATCTCTGCTCTGTGGAAAACCCCACAGGAGATTCGCAGGTGTGGCAGCCACCCATCCTGAGCAGGGAAGACTGGGGAGATGAAGTGAAACTGGGAGAAAACTGGAGTTTTGCAGGTTTTGTTATAAAAAAAAAGATATATTTGCCCAGGGAGGGAGGTACATCTGTGTATTTGTGTCCAGTGTACGTTTGAAGAGCTGGGGAAGAGAGAACCCTTTTTCAATTAGTGGTATCTCAGCTGTTACTCACAGCAAAGGAGGTCAAGCATTTCAGGCAGGAGAGCGTTTTGGGGAGAGTCATGTTTGTCAACTCATAGCAACCACTCTCCTTACAGGTGAATGTGGACTAGAGTAAAACAGGGACCTTTGCAACATTGTCTAAATCAGCTAAATATGACATTTAATAAGTTACTGGGAAAAAAACAGTGTCACCCCCAGTTTGCCTCTTAGACCTTACTGTCGCATGCAGCACGCCATCATTGTGGCTTTGAGTGAGCAGGTTGGTGAAGCAGAGGATCTGACTTGGGGAGGTGGTGTTGGGTCAGCGGACACAATTAACACTTTAAGTGCAGCCTTCCCTTGCCCCAGTGCAGCCCAGCTCCTTCTCAGCACAGACGCAAGAGAATGTGAGAGCTGAAGTTGCAAAACCAGCCATACTGTGATAGATCAAAGGTCCATCTAGCCAAATTGTTGCTCATGGATGAGTACAAGAGTGGTGGCAAGTGCATAGTGATGCATTTGACTGTATTTCAAAGTAGGCATGAGCTTCAATGTAAAGTCTGTCAACCTCAAAAATACTAATAAAAATGCCATTGGTAAGGTAGATTATCCCCATTTATAGGTGGGGAAAGCCTATTCCAGTTTAGCTGATTGGCCTAAGGTCAGCAGTAGAGCTGCCAATGTACCTCACCTTTTGTGAGTCATGGTCCAAACTTCAAATGACGCCCTGGAAGAATGATCCTTGCTTGAATTACAGAGAACTTCAGAGGTTAAGACAGAAAGCAGGAGTGTTTGAACAGCACAGTGGGATTAATCCTTTCAGCAGCAGAGGCTGTAGAGCACGGGATGGATGGCACATTTGGCTTCCTCTGTTGCCGATAAAATTGTTGCATTTTTTTTTAATCTAAAGCAGAAGTCATCTAGATTAGAACTGTATTTTTTTCCTTGTGGGAGCATGAATCCTAGCAGGAAGGAGCAAAAATTTCATTAAGGAAGAAAGCAAGACTCCTGAGATTCCCAGATGTGGAAGAGGAGAGTGTTCCTCCAGTGCACAAAAGGCAGACCAAATTCTGAGGTTTTCAGAAATCATGAAAGCTTGCAAGCTTGGTATTTGCCTTTCAAAGTTTCAAAGCCTTTAGGATTCATGCTTTCAAGTTTCCCACCCCTCTTATGATTAGATTGTTCCAGCTTTATTTTTTGAATGAAAATTGAAATTTTTCTCATGATCACTTGACTCCAGGAGGTAGAGCTTTAAAAATATCCTCTTGCCAAACTGGCAGAAGTGTCATAAAACTTGGTAACAAGATGTTCAAGGTGAGTTTAGGAGAGCTGCAAAATACCTTTTCTTGGTAGGATGGGAAGTTATTTTAAACTTCAGCTAACAGGGTTTAATACCTACATTGATCCTGCTTGATTATCAACATTATTTGGTTTGGAATACCAATAAAGCTGTCATGAGGATATATTCCTCAAAGGACTCTCCGTTCAATTCTATCCTTCCCAGGTCTAGCTGATTTTCTCTTCTGAGGATGGCCCACAGGTTTTCACAGCAGAGCCTCCACTAAAATCAGTGTCACTGATGTAAGTAAATTGGCCCCCAAGGTCGCTTTGGCAGTCTTATGCTGGCATGGCAGTTACTCAGAAGCAGCACTTGGACATTTATTTTTCAGCATGAAACACTTTTCATGAAGTGTTGCTCTGTCTCAGTGTAACTGAAACCTCTTCCAGAGCAGAGAGTGGGGTTTGCTGGGAAGAGGCGTGCTTTCTAACTGGCTTTTGGGTTGTTTTTCTGCACAAGTGACAGTCTTCTGAAATTTGTTTCAGTGTGCCAGGAGAGGTTTTGAATGCTGAATCCCTGTATCTTTGCGTGTGATTAGACCATTAGCTCACTACCTTCCCTCGCAGTGATCCAGGGCTCAACCAGGCCACCCAGTGCTGATGGAAATCCTACAAAAAAACCTTTCAAAAATCCATGTGCAGCCCCACAATTGGGAGACAACATGACCTAGTCAGTCTTTGCAGCAGGTGCCACAATGGAGAACTTCCTCCTGTGTGAAGGACCTGGGGACAGATATGCAGAGCTGCTTCCAGGCATGCTGCATCTCTCAGGGGTTTCCCTGTGTCCAGACTGGCATAGCTGGACCTGACTGGGGTCACTGAATCGCCCTTCTGCAGCACCCAGGGCTGCTTGCCCTTAGGACCAGCCCTGCTTTGACTGCAGCCAAGCCACCTCGGGTGCTGCCAGTGCCACAGGACTGCATGGCCATTCTGTGCCTGGACTCACCCCTTCCTCCTGGGGTGCACCAGGACATAAGAAATAAGGGCTGACAGCCGTATTTGCTGAGATTTGCTTCTGCTCTGTCACACAAGATATTAAATTGACTCTTGACCACACTGTCTTGGGGAAAGGTATGAAGCCTTTGTATGGCTCCTTCATGCAATGGGAGCAGTGCTGGGGCGGCCAGAGGGGTTATTTCACCTCCCTGGCAGGCTTCGGTGTATCCCTCTGGTCTTCTGATGTGCAAAAGGAGGTCCTGTGTTGGCAGGGCAGGGTGGGGTACAGGTAGAAGATCGCATGGGTAGAGCAGGCAGGAGGCCCAGATCCATCCTGGCTCTGCCACTCACTCGTTCAGACAAATGGCCTGCACTGGGTTTTTCAGTGTGGGGTTGGTGCCCCCAGCAGGTTCTGCCCCACTGCTGGCAAAGAGGGCATCTTGTCATTTAAACAGGCACTGCTGCCCTACACACCCTCATGTAAAGACCCTGATAGCTCCTGGACACAGCGCACAGTCTTGAGCAGGTTGAAAAGTCCAGCTTTTTATTGCTTTGGGGTTTTTTGTCCCCTAAGTTTGTAGCATTATTAACATTTTGCTAGAGAAGAGATGGGGTTTCTTCAAACATCTTGGCTTCTAGGCCTTTATAACTCACTGTAGGATGACAAAACGTGGGAGCTGTAAGAAGTGGTTTAGCAAAGGATGATACTGGTTAGGAAAGCAGAAAAGGATCACGGGCAGGTTTAATTTTTTACTTTACTAATTTACAGGAACACATCCCTTTACAATCTGTTTAAAACCGAATTTAAGCTGAATAATGGGAAGGTATTAAAAACTATTGATATTGAAAAGGAGACTGAAAGATCAGGTTAACAATGCAGTTTGTTTTCGGTATGCAGCTCTGTTTGTGTGGACAGTTTCCCTGTTTATAGGTAGATGTATTTTTTGTTTGAAAGTCTCCAGTATTCGGGTCTTTTAAGTGCTGAGGAGAAAAGTTCCTTCATTTACATAACAACTTAGGTGATCTGTGTAAGATAGCAGTATTTCTGTCTGTTTTAAGCTTTATTTAATGTTTGTTTACAAACTGAGCCCAGTTTGAGTTGATCAGAGTTATTTTAAGCAGGTTTTATTTGGAGGAGGCACAAAAGGAGGCACTTGATCCACATGTGTGAGAGCACAGTCTCATTCAAAGACACAGAGACTACAAGGCAATGTTATCTTCTAGTTTACACATTCAGTGTATGGTTTTTATTTGATGATGGAAAGAAAATTCAGTGGGATGAAAATGCAGTGATCCTTTTCGGTTGCTTTTTGCAATTTGTTCCGATTTAGAGTATTCAGTGCCCAGGGGTGCTAGGCACCCTGTCCAAAGCTGCCCTCGGTCCCCCCTGGCTTTAGGAGACTTATTCAGCCAGTCTGATCTCAGTGCAGTTTAGGGATCATCACAATCTCAGGATGCTGAGGTAGGGTGTTTGCCTGAGTGAGAAGGGCTCTTCATGTGAAATGATGAGGAAAGCTGCTGTGAAATGGAAATCAATGCTGATTCACAAATCCCGGGCTGGGAAGTTTACAGAAAACTCAGGGCAACAACCAGCTTAGCCTGGGCTGATGTTCACATTCATTCAGATTTCTAAACCAAACATATCTTGACCTTTTTAAATCAGTCACCGGTAAAGGGCTTATCCCTCCTTCTAGAGGTTTCTTCCTGTTCAGACAGACCCCAACTGATGGTGTGTGGGGACTGGGACAGGCAGCGCCTTACGCTAGTAACTGCAGTTTTCTTTAGGTTGGTCTGTTTTATGTATGTACATCTTAGTTCAGAGCACTTGACAGCATCCAACAGTCCAGTTACCCTTTCACATGATTATTTCATATTTGGGATCAAAACTGTCAACACTTGAAATCCTTTTGCTTACAAGAGGAACTTGGCAGTGTGCAGGGCTGCTTGCACCAGTGTAAAAATGGACTGTCTGGGCTGTAAGCTGATGTGGACACCGTGGTGCATTGCTGGCAAGAGCGTCACCTTTGCTGTAAGGAAGGAGTTGATTTGGTATCTCCCAGAGTCATGCAACCCAAGACCCAGTCTGCTTTTGCTCCTTGGCTTCCTGATGCTTTTGTGAATAAGCCTGTTGCTCTCCCCTCTTCACAGCTGTGGGTAAACCAAGAAGATGGAGTGGAGGAGGGAACCAGCGATGTGCAGAATGGCCATTTGGATCCAAGCGCAGACTGTCTCTGTCTCGGCAGGACCGTTCAGAACCGAGACCAGATGAGAGCCAATGTCATCAATGAAATCATGAGCACAGAGCGCCACTACATCAAGCACCTCAAGGACATTTGCGAGGTACATTGGGGTTGTGATGCTGGGGTACTGCAGCAGGACATGGCATGGGCAGCTGGGAGCTGAGGACTGGGTTTGTCCTTGAATGGTGGGGAAAAAAGATGCAGTGTGTTTGAGTATTGTGTCTAATAGAGGAGCAGCATCTGTCAATAAGTATCGATACTTCTGAGAATTTTCTGCTGGATTTGATAATTAACTGAAAGTACAATTTTCTGACCTTTTTTCCATACCTCTCTGACTAAAATACGATGACGTTGAGATCCTTCAAGCAGTCCTCTTAATTAAAACCCAATGCCATCTACTTTTGAACTTGTGATTGAGAAAATTAGGTTGTAATTAAACCAATCAGTTTGCTATTTCATCTGTCTTTCCTATTGGGTTCACAGTTTCCCCTGGCTCAGGATGGCCCCCATTTGTCTTTTACTGTGAGATTGAGAGCAAAATGTTTTCACCATGAGAAATTAGATACCTTCCATGTATCCAGTGTGAGGGAACCAGCAAGCAAAGGAACTCTGGTGGCTGACCCCATGCATCCTCAGTGTGGTTCTTCATTATGTTACATTAACCTCTACAACCCCTTACTGTCCTGCAGCATACAGAGTTACTGCTATGAGCTAAGCCCAAAGTGCAGTGCTTGTGGTGTTGGGTATTTAGGGAGTGTTGCAGGACAGCTTGGGTATTATGTGTAGAGCATGTAGTTATCACTAAGATGCAGAAGTTTGTTAGCACTAAAAGTCCATGGCTTTCAGCTCATCCCTCTGAATGTTTAGGATTTAGGAAGCCTGTGCCCAGTCTTTGCACAGTTACTGTGATGTAGCCCTTTAGGAATTCTGGTTAGAAAGATGTCTTCCTCCCTTCACACTTGCTGCTTTTCTATTGACAAAGCAAAGCAGCCATGCAAAAAGCATCTATGATGCTTTTCAAATATGGAAGAGTCTTGGGATTACAGTCTGGAAACAAATGAGCTTAATTTCACTGTGCTATTTCAGTCAGAAGGTTTTGCATTGAAGAAGGGAACAACTGCAGGAACTTTTCCACACAGTTTCTTTTACTGCATTTGCACTTTTCTATTGAAAGACTAAAAAACCTTAACTTGCATTTCCCGGCCTTGTCACCATGCTTTTGCCAAATCAGATTCTCAGGAGGTACAGATAGGTGTAGCTTCAGTGACACGTGTGGGGTAACACTGATTTACAGCACCTAATGATATGTACCAGATATGAAAGAGATCTTTAAGTCTCTTTCTTTGCTTTGTATGATGCAAAATGATATTGAGGGGATAAATCTTACCTCCAGGTACAGCACCAGGAAATGATTCAGCTGTCTCTAGGAGGACTGAAATGGGCATTCTCATCTGCAAAATGATGGGCTGTCCCTTGCTGGAGAGAGCCTCATTGTGCTCAGTTTAATCAGAGCAATCTGTTTGCCTCGAGAAGGCTCAGAGACAGCTCAGTCATCCCAGGCATTTCGGCACAGCATGATGTGACTGTTTCTGTTTGTGCATAAGAGAAGGGGGGCTGGAGATGGAGAGATGCAGGCCAGCTTGAGCTCCTGCCAGTGCTACTGGATGGATTTGTACAGAGGTGTTACTTATGCCGAAGAACAAGTAGACACCAGACAACCACGGATGAGATGCAGAAGTACTGTTGACCATGGCAAATTCTCCTCTTCCCTTTGCTCTTTAAGGTGTCAGGACAAAAAGCAGCAATATGACATATTGGAGGGGATGAAAGAGGAGTTCTGGCTGGGTGGCAAAGGTTGAACCTGATTTAGTACTGAGTTTAGCAGTGTATAGTTATACTCTTGTAGCTCAGCTATAATGAATAACAAATCCTAATAACAGTGATAACTGTAAGATGTATGGTTGTTATCAGAGGACCGTAGCCCCTGCTAAGTGATTAAGAGCTCTCTGATTGCTCTTTTCTGCTTCAGGATGTATTTCCACTACATGCTACTATATTATTATACACCATGTTATTATTTGTAATACCCATGGCACTGGTCCTGCCAACTCAGGAGCTCGCAGGCTAGCCAGCACCAGAAGGGAAATTACCTGTGTAAGCCAAGACCTGCTTGAAGCAGCTGGCTTGGAGGGGAATTCCCCATCACAGCAAAGCCATACTGCCCTGACGACTGTTGCTGCTGTGCCCTTGCCTGGAGTATGAAGGACTGACTGCTGCTTGGTAAAACAGTTTTGTGAAGATATTTATTAGGGGTAAAATGTGGAGTTTTCCCCAAACTGCCTTATGAGGATGGATCATTATTCTGAGATATCACCAAGGGGAAAAGAAAAAATAATCTAGCCTTAAGGAAATATCCAGCAATAGGAATTTCAGGATTTAACGGTTAGATTTTAGAAAAATAGTAAGCTGCTGAATAATAGGTTTTTATAATGGGTAGCAATAGCCAGCCTTACTGGCAGGCAGTGCTGCTCACTCACTGACCTGTAAAGCACCACATATATGCATAGCTGTCTCCAGGCTTGGAGAGACACCCCCTGCTCCTGTGGTTTGATCCTGGGAAGATGCAGGAAGGCACAGTGTCTGTCTGTGACATGTCACTGGTGACACTGGCAGAGCTCGGTCAGGGCAGGTAGCACCATGAGAGCAGCAGGCAAAGAAGGTGGTTTGAGCTGTAGCCTGCATTGGGGAGTGCAGGTGGAAGAACAAGATGCAGGAGGGCTACAAAGAGCAGGGTGCTGAACTTTTGAGAACTGAGCAGGATTTGGACCAGCATGTGGATTAGGAAGACAAGGCTAAATTTAAGGAGGTGTTAAGAGGGAGAAGAGAGAGAGCTTGGATGGGAACTGTGAGGCAATTGCAAGATCAAAGGAAACCTTCATATTATGAGTAATTTGGAGGTGGGAGGTTAGAAAGGCCAGCCAACTTCCAGTGCTGCATTTTCCTCTTTTCCAAGTAATTTTACTTTGAATTTATTTTTTAATTAATAATGTTGACTGGATTCCACCTAAGCTTTACTTTGGTGCCAGGACAGCTCTGAATGCTGTGTGGAAAACATCCTCATTGCATCTCAGAGTGTCAAGCTGAGTCTGTTGTGCAGAGCTGATGGGACAGGTTTTCACGTGGTCTGGTTGGCATTAGCCTGATTCATTCTCAGAGATGGAGAAAAATAACTTTTTGTTTGTTTGTTTGTTTGTTTTTGTGCTGCCTCAGAGCAAAGCAGCATAAAAGCTTCTTGGCAGTAATGTGACCCTCCTTCAGAGTACCACATCTGAGGAGCTGCTGGCCCCTTTGTATGACCAGTTTCTCATCCATGGATACCAGACTGGTGGGCATCGCTGCAGAAGGCTCTTTGGATCAAAGGGGATATATATATATATATATATATAAATATATATATACACACTATGTGTATGGATTCCCCAGTGTGCAATTTTTATGTAGCTGTCTTTCACAGCTTTCTTGTGCACACCTTGTTTTTCTGTTTTGGAGCTGTCTGCTTCATGCCCTTTTGAGGAACAGGCTTGGTTCCTGTAGGACTTCATTTTATATTTGTAACGGGTCCCAGTGCAATCACAGTGCCTGACATTCAGTACTTGCTGTAGACCGGTATTTGAAAAAATGCTTTAGAGTCCTGTCTGCCTGGGACCAGACATGGCTTTAGTTTGCCTTTTCAATTCAAACAGTCTCAACTTTGTTCTTGTGCTTATTCTTAACATGTACACATCAGCACAGTGTTCACATGGATTCTGTGAGCACTGCTTTAGAGAACAGTATTTTTATAGCCCAAATGGTTCTGGTACAAACTGAGGGAAATGTAGTACAAGCTGCTGGTCAGTGTCAACAGCCACCAGACTGGCTCAGAGATGGAAATAAACTAGAATATCATCACAGCTGCCTTTGAAGCTATAGCCTGCAGTGGCTATCATCTCCTTATTCTCTCCTTCAACTTGCTCTCAGCTGGACTGGATGGATGGATGGATGGATGGATGGATGGATGGATGGATGGATGGATGGATGGATGGATGGGCCACCTCTCCTACTGTCTCTAAACACACTCTGGGATGGAGAAAACTTAGCACTTAACCTCCTGCAAATACTTTCCAACTTTGGCATATACTTTAAGGACTACATGGAAAAGTACTTTAAAGAGATACAGTTTGACAGCTATTTTTAGGTATTCATTGAGCAAAACACTCTCCAACATCTGCTCATCAGTCAGCTATCCCTTCTCTGAGAGAACCTGATGGGATGAGCAGAAGGAATATGACATTGTTTAATGTAACAGAAGTAAATTTACTGGAAAAACTGTGCAGCAGCCTTCTAGCTGGCTCCTGCTGCGTGTTATATATAAATCTTCAGTCTCCCCTTTGCTGGCTTGTGCTGGAAACCAACCATCCAAATGCACAGACTGGATAGAGAATAAGGCTTGGGAACTCCATGCATTCTTTTATTTTCCTCATGGTTTTATAGGTGCCTGTACAGAAATGTGCTGCTTCAGCTTCTCTGAAACACGTGACTCAGGCAAAGTGATGAACCAGCACAGGGAGGATGGGGAATATTCAAGACGATAGTTGCAGCCAATAGCAACCCCAGGGCTGAAAGATGTTCACATAAATCATCCAGTGGCTGATTTCACACAACAGTGTGCGAGCGGGGAGGCTGGCTTGCAGGCAGCCTGCAGCGTGTAGCAGGGCAAAGGTCCTAACACAAACGGCTTGCGGCAGTCATTCAGTGCTGCTGGCACTGAAGCCAGTGTCAAAAAGAGCTTGACCTCGTGGGCAAGTGCACATCTTTTTCTTTTTTTGAAGGCTGTTCTGAAATAAGCAGGTAAATGTGAAAAGCAGCATGGAAAAGTATTCTGCATTATTCCTTTCTAGTTTGAAATTTTATTTGCCCTGCAACTGTCCTGCAACATGGGAACCAGCCTGCTCCCATTCCTCCTGGCCTTGAAAAATGAGAGAGGGAAACCCAGGGAAATGAGTCATCAAGGAGCTCCTGGAAGAAGAGAGATCTAGATTTAGTAAATGCAGAAAGTATTCCATAGCCCAAGCTTCCCAGCTGAAAAAGCCAGCAAATTCAGGGTAACGGCATTTTTCTGGCTAAGGTGGACATTGCAGAAGTTGGTTCTTTGCCAGGTTGGCCAAAGCTGCATTTATCATTCATCTCTTTGAAGTTCTCCCTCCCAGGAACCACATGGTGAGGCTGAAGGACAGTTTATTATAGCGTTCCAATGGTTTGCATTGTGGACCAGCAGCTGCATGTCACCAGCTGGCGGTTCGTCTGTGTGACTAAGCATCTAGAGTTCCCAAATATAGCCATTCAACTGGAGCTGTTGGCATTTTTTTCCTTCATTTTTTTCTCTTCCTATATAATAAAGGCAGGCAAAGTCATCTTATGATGACCCCCACGTGATTTCTTTTCAGTCAAGAGGCTGCAGTCCAGACTAGGCCAGCATAGCATCTAAGATTTGGCCTTGCAAAGTTTCTAGTGTAAATTGTCCAGACAGGCAAAACACAGAGGGAGTGAAATGATTTGTTCAATGTCACACGGGTCAGTGGCAAAGCCTAAAATTCAGCCCAGGCAGCCAGAACCTCCATGTGTCACCTCATCTCCTCAACCCCATGTGCTGCAGGCAAGCATATTTTCAAGAAGTCCTCATGATTCAGCTGAAACCAGAATGATGAGGTCATGGATAAGACCGGATCAGCAAAACAGGGAGGCAGACAGAACTTGGTGTGTTGTGCTTTTTGCCAGAATATTGATCCACTAGTTTTTTTTAGGTCAGGAGATCTTCAGAGGAGGTGCCAGCCTACCACTTTGCATTCATATGATGTCCAGCTAAACTCAGGCTCAGTACCAATGGGTATCAGGGGTAGATGAATAATAAGTAAGGAGGGTTGTGTTATTATTGCACTGGACCAAGATGCAGGAGATCTGAATTGTTTCCAAATCTACTGCAGATGCATACTGTGATTTTGGAAAATTTCCTTAAACTTTCTACATCCTGGTTCTTCCTCTCTTTCTCCATTTGACTTTAATGTCTATAGACTCAGTAAGGGAGCCTGATGTTTATACAGAGAAGGGTGCAAAGCCTTTTCCTCTGGTCCCACTTAAAAAACGAAATAAAAGCAAGGAAATACGATAATTGAGAAAACAAGAGAAAAATTCTCCTTCATTTGACGGTGTTTGGAATAGCTTATTTGCACTAATGGAACCGAGGGTATGGAAAACAAAATTAAAATATTGCTGCTTTCCTCTAGATGGCATCGGTCAGCAGCTTGGGCTGCCTCCACTTTGGGTTCCTTGCTCAGGCAAGCCAAAACACCGACCCGACCTACTGCATCGCCTCTGGGGTTCCCCACCGTGACACTCACAGGACAACAGCCCCCTGCTTTTGTCTCAGACTCAGGAAGATGAATAATGGGGGGGATGAAGTATGTTGCCTCCCAAGTCAGAGAATGCTTGAAGAGTGTTTTCGCTCAGCATTTCACTTGGTGCTGAAACAACTAGGATGTTTACACCCTCCATACCCTCTTCCTAGACCAAGGGCATGCGAGCACACATTAATAGAGTATGGCTCAGCATGATTATCAGCTTCCTTGTCCTGATTGCTGTGGCTAAAAGGAGAAATCAGAGTGGGCAGATGATCAAACAGCCCCTTGCAGCTTTCTCCTTAATGCCATGTGCCACTGAAGAGGACATGGAAACAGCAATATTTGTAGGAGCTACCCAAGATACTGGGTATTGCGAGGCAGTGATTTTTGAAGGAACAGGCATGCAATATTGTTACACACCTCTGTGGAGCTGTCAGCCAAATTTTGCAATTCTCTGCAGCACAGGTAGGGACTGTTTCAGGCTGTGCTGGTTGAGATCTCTGGGGAACCTTTCCGTTGCAAAACTGATTCATGGAAAATGCTGAAGGACGTTGAGTCAGAACCAGCACTGTCCTCCCAGCGCACTGTACACACAGTCTCCAGCATCTCCTGACACCGGCTGTGAAGCCCTGAGCATCCTGGGTCTGGTGTGTCCTGAGCAACAGTAGTGCTGTGCGTGTGCTGTGGATTGTAGTGGGAACAACAGTTGCAAATGAGATGTTGTCCATCAAAAATGGACTTGTAGCATTTCAAGGCATGTTCTACGTATGGCATGCTTACTCGTAGACAGGAGTTGTTGGAGACAGTAATGTGGATTTTGTTTTTAGAGCCATTTTCTGATTTTGTTTTTACTTGCTTCTTCCTCAAGAAAAATCTGGGAGCAGCCTCAGTATAACTGTTTGGGTTATTTTATGATTGTTCTGTCTTACACCTTACAGGGTTACTTAAAGCAGTGCCGGAAGAGGAGGGATATGTTCAGTGATGAACAGCTAAAGATCATCTTTGGTAACATCGAAGATATCTACAGATTTCAGATGGGTTTTGTCCGGGACTTGGAGAAACAGTACAACAATGAGGACCCCCATCTCAGTGAAATTGGACCATGTTTCCTTGAACACGTAAGTTCATTTGGCATTTTTGTTTGGGAGTTTTGGGGTTGTTGTTGACTGGGGGATGGGAGGGGAATAGCAGAGAAAGTCAGGAGGCAGGAACCACTCAGAATAACTTCTGTGCGTCAGTACTGTTCTAGTTACATATCACAGAATACTCCATGGCCTTCCCTTTACTTCCTTAGATACAGGTGCAGGGAGAATTCAAAGTGAAGCATGTATAACTCCCCCGGTACATTTGAATCCCAACACCTTTTCACAGCCACCCTTACTCATGTTATGTAGGTATGGTGTCCCTCACCTATTCCACACCTTATTTTTGGCATCTAGATCGGGTTGTGGATGATCAGAAGGTTGGAAGATAAAAGAGTCCAGAGATGTAAAAAGAGGTCTCAGTTGTGCGTTACACAAAAGAAGTCGATGAGAGCAAATGCCCAGGTTGTTCGCTGTGGCACCGAGATGCTTTTGCAAGGGGTGAAAAACCCACGCAGCTTCAGTTGCCTTCCCCTGCGGAGCTGTTGGACTGGGTGGGGAGGTGCCAGCTCATGCTTCTTGCTGTCCGGGTGGCAGCAGGGCAGCAGATATTTGCTCATGCTAAGTGCACACCGAACAGGACATTTTAGCTGATGATATAGTCCTCGAGGCTTTTGCCCAGCCCATCGTACTGTTACATAAGCCACGCACTACAGGAGCTGATAAATTGGCCAGTGTTGTAAATATGTCAGAAAATGTCAAGAAAATTACAGTCCTGCGGTTCTCGGCTTTCCTTTAGGGAGAATGAAGTGCTGTATCAGAGCTTACATATGAGGTGCTCCAACTTGGGATGCAGATCCTGTACTCTGTTACCTCATTGCTTACAGTCAGGGCTGAGCTGGCAACAGTTCACTTCTTATTAGAGAGATTTCTGATAGGCATTCATGAAACTTCAGCAGGGCATCCCTAAAAAGGTTCACAGCGTCTCTTAAGCATCACTGGTCATCTAATTGAAAAGCAGGATTCTTTTTGAACATTGCTTGTTTTTATCAGAGCCTGCAATCTTTGCTGCTCGTTTCCAGTACAGCATCATATTCCATCACTGTGCTAAAAAGATGTAAGAAATCTTGGTGAGAATCAGTAGCTAAAACTTCTTGTCTTGAGGCTGTTCTGTTAATTCATATATTGTGACAATAGTAAGAATTACTACTGTTATTCAGAGGAATATCTGACACTTACCTGCCATCAGATAGGGGTTGAAAGCTGGCTATTAAACTCCTGATAAATCACCCCTGTTCAGCCATTTAAGGAAACTGAGGGATGACGACAATAAGATCCTGTTATATAGATGTGCAAAGCATCTTCTTCCACATCTGCTTCAGGAAGAGAGAGGTGTTAACACTTGGCTCTTGGGAAAGAAACTGGGCTTCCCTATTCCCAGAAAGGCAGGTTATTTGGGCCCTTATGGGATTCAGAAATAAGAATTGCTGGTCAAGTGTATTTTTAAAATAAAATAATCTGTCTTTTCTATAGTTTGTAATATTATGTAATATACTGGCCACAACCTGATGGAGCATCTCAGACTGTTGAGCTACAGCACCTGGGCTTATATGTGGGCTGTCTCAGCTGCAGACTTAATATGTCATACTGGACAGACAGTCTGTGTCTGTCCCTCTCTTCCAGCATAATCTTTCTTTGACCTTTTGTCTGCCTTGTCCATGTGGCCCAAATGAATCAAGCCTGAGTTAGGGGTGATGAACTGACATGGCCCCATCTGTGGTCCGTGAAGGCAGAAAAAGCAGATTCCAACAAAACTGGCACAAAAAGACTTGTTATAGACCAGTGCAGAGGGTGGGTGGCACATGTGTGTTTTTTTTTCATTTGTTTTTCCAGTCTTTGGTGTATTCTGGCTCTTAGATCCTGGGGAAATCCACACAGTGGTTGGTGCCTTGGGTTGCCTGTTGGGTAAAGGGAATTTCAAATACGCCAAGCTCCTAAACACTTGCCAGGTGCTTCATGATCTTTCAGGGGAAGAGCTTCAGAATTAACAGGGTTGTCTTCTTGTATTACCAAAGACCAGAGCTCTGCTTGGTTTTACTTTTACCTTTTATAAAGAAAACTCCACTGCACAATTTGAAACCGAGAACATCGACAACACTGTTCAGGGGTTCACTTTTAACACACCCTGTACCTACCGGGGCCTCAGTGGTGTATCAGTGTGCAGGTCCCTGTCTGCCATTCTTTTCCCCCAGAGCAACCATGCAGCACCTCCTCCAAGCATGAAAAGTACTCTAGGACTAGTCCTTCCTCCTCCTCGTTGGGATATTCTTTCTTCTTTAGTTGTAATGTGTTCTTTTTGGCAAGTCGGGTGGTTGGCTTCTCACAGCACTTGTCTGACGTGTACTCCCCTCTGTGTGCATCCCTTTTCTCCTGCCTCTCACAGCAAGATGGCTTCTGGATCTATTCAGAATACTGTAACAATCATTTGGATGCATGCATGGAGCTTTCCAAGCTGATGAAAGATAGCCGGTACCAGCATTTCTTTGAAGCATGTCGTCTGTTGCAGCAGATGATTGATATTGCCATAGATGGTTTCCTTCTGACACCAGTGCAGAAGATCTGCAAATACCCCCTGCAGCTCGCAGAGCTACTGAAGTACACCGCGCAGGATCACAGGTATGCCAGTCTCTTATTACATGGAAGGATTATGCTGACTGCTTCTTTACACGGCCTCTACCACACACACAGTGGTAGGTTTTTTTCTGTCCAGCTCTTCTCTTCATGACATCTTGTGTAAATTGAAGCAGGACAGAGGTTCAGCAGACAGTTAGAAAGCTTCTCAAAGCACTGATTCTCAGTGGAGCCAAACTCATCTCTGTTATAATCAGACATGTGAACTAATTTACCCTTTAATTTCTGATGCTACCAGTTACACTAGAAAAACTACCTAATTAGCATTCAGTGGTCAGAAAGGCTCATTCCTTTGTCCTGCAGAGGACCTCAGCATGTAGCAAGTAGAGGGCCTGGATCCACAGCTCAAACCTGAATATGCTCAGATTTGGGGAGAATTCAGACCCTGCTCTGCTTTTCAGCCTGATTCCATCTCTGATTTTGCCATTAGGTTTAGGTTCAGAGGAGAACCCAGCAGTTTGATTACTTCCCAAAATTTTCCAGGTTCTCTTCTGTTGATGATGAGAGCAATCAACCTGACTCCCTGACTTAGTGTAAATCAAGAATAGTACCTGTGATATCACTTGTGATATGTGGCTATAAAAATAAGGTGAAAGAAGAATCAGGCCCCCATGTAGATTTTCTCCCATCTTGTCAATTTTCTTTCTTTTTCCAAAACCCATTTAAAAGGAGTGCTTCAGAGACCAAAAAAGACCACAAATGTTTCAGAAAGTTCTGTGTTTGATTATTTATTTTTTTTTATTTTTCCCCAAACCCATCTCTAGTAGTGCAGAGCGACATGATATGAACAAAGAGATGCATTGGTTTGCTTTGACTCGATTTGTGTGTTTGACTGATTCATACCAGCTGAATGCCCAGTTCAGAATCACCAATTTGGACATGCATTTGGCTCCAGATCCAATTTCTGGTTTTCCCTTCATAGTGAGACCAAATCAAACTTGGAGTGGACTCATGGAACATTAGGGTATTGGAAAGCAGCTTGAGGATCCCAAATGTTAGGGCTTTTTTTCCTTACCAGTCATGTGATGTCCCCACAGTACTTACAGTGTGAATTCAGATGTGGCTTTACAATGGGAAGACATAAGCAGCCTCAGAGAGAAGAGGTCTGTTTAAAGTGATCTTCTCTGAGCTATTTGGTAGCAGTACCAAAGGGGATGTGGACAGTGTGATTACACAAGGGTTGAGTTATTCTGGCAGTACATTCCTTCTTCCTTTGGGATGTTTTAAAATCAACATGTAGTTAAGTAATCAGATATAGTCATAGTCTGAGGAGGTGCGGACCTTTCTTATGTTTAAGCAATAATTAGTTGATTGAAACCAAGACGTCTTTTTTTACTGGATTGTGTCAGTGATAGGACACAGCCACGGACACTTCATTTCTCTTGTTTGTTCATTTTCTGGAAAAGGAAAGCAGGATTACATTTGCTTCCCGTGCATTAGTAAAGAGTAACCCCCCTGAAGCCATAACACAGTGCATATATGAAACTCATGCCTGCAGAGAGAGCCAGCAAAAGACCTGTGCCTTACCTCAGCCCTGGAGTTTGATGTACTTCTGTTAGTGTGGGCATGCCCTGGAGGGTTCAGTGACACATGGAGGAATGGTGTTATAACACAGAAATGGGCTGGGTTATACCACACTTCCCTGTGGTCTAGTTCCTCCAGTTCAAGCCTAAAAGAGCCTGGGAGGGACCAACCCTCCAGGCAATCCAGCTCGCATCCCAGACAAGCTTAATACCACGAATGGCAAAAGTGAGGAATGGAGAGTGTGTTTTACTCACCACCAGATGATTCTGCACTGGGGATTTGCAGAAAACCTGGACTGCCATGGTTGCCTGCTTCAAATACAAGTATTTTCTGTTTGTGTGATCCTGGCTTTGGGATCGGGGATGAGATGAGCAAAGCCCGAGATCAGAAAAGCAGATAATCTTTGAGGAATGTCATGTTGGTGACAATATCAGACACAGGGAAAAGCCAGATACCTGCAGGTTGGGGTACCATCGGGGTCTCAGCTATGAGAGAAACTGAGAAGCCAACTGGGAGCTTCCGCTGGGCCCATTAATCAGATGGTGAGTTATCCTCATGCACTTGCAGGTTGACAGTGCTTGCAATTAGATTGCAAATCTGAAACAGAAGCTAGAAAATTATACAGTGGACTAATACTCACAATCAAATCAGACTCATCGTTGGCTGGATTAGGAGTCTTTTAAGCACTCTAGTAAGAATTTAATACGTAGAAAATACAGTTTAAATCCATTGAACCATTTATGGACTAAGGCAAAACTCAGAAAGGACCAGGAGTCTGAATGAAAGCAAATATTTTAGCTTCATCTAACAGTGGGACACTATATTGTTAGGGTTTTTTTTCTTCCTCTCCACTAATAGCATACTTGTAGAGCTATGCCTCTTCCCTGTACCAGGTCAGGACAACAGAGCTGAAACCAGAAACCTGACCACTGTCCCCCAAGTTAGCATGCGATATTTGGCAAGAGTCTAGACTTGCATTCTGCTTGAGCACTGGAAAGAGGTCATTGCAGCCCCAATATAATTCACAAACAATTAATTTAATAGTTAATGCTGTCCCATTATTATTTCACTGGCCAAATGATGCTTGTGTTGTTTTTTTCTTATAAGTTTTTGCCAGCTCTGCCACAGACATGGGCTAGGAGCCCAAAAAGTTCAGTCATGACTCTTTCTTCATTACTCAATGAAAGAAAAATGTGCACGGGGTTTTCTCTTGAAGCAGAACATTAGAATTAGTATTACCAAGATAAAACCCAGTTTGACTGGCACTGGCCCACTCTGCATGGAGGCAGGCACGGGGGTGTTTTCAGAGCCTGACTCCCTTCAAGTGCTTATTGTTTTGAGACTGGTTCATCGGAATTTTTTACAAAGCCACATCTGTTCACCTCTTAAAGATTTACTCCAGCTTAATATGAATTAAATATATGAAGGTCGTAAGTGCAGCTTGCTGGTGTCCTGAGCATTCCTGCTGTAGAACTGAGCTAGAGTAGAGAGTGTATGAACACATTCCATGAGAAAGAGGAGACTGCTGATGGGTGGACTGACATTAGCCTCCTTTCTTAGCATGAGCATAATTGCTAGGAGATTATTAGTGACTGTCTCTAAACCCTGCACCTCTCCCTACCTCTGCAGATCCTTTCTGTCATAGTGACTTGCCTATTTCCCTACAAGAACTCATGGACATTTTGGAGACCAGACTAAGGTGTCTCTGGCATACCTCCATTTCTTCCTAGCACAACCAGGCACTCACTTCATACAGATGGTCCCACAAAGGAAGGCAGAAGAAATTCTTCACTGTGTATCATGACAGATATGTCAGACAACCCATCCTCTACTCTCCTTAATTTTGTTGAAGGACCAGTCTGATGTTCTGGAATTTGTAGGATTTTGTTTTAACCTCAGCAAGAATTTTTACATAATATTTGAATAAAAATTGAAAATGCATCTCAAGATTTCTTTCAAGAAAAGATGGCAAAATAGCAAATAATATTCTGTTGTATATCATACTGTGATTGTTTCTTAATATTTATCCTGTCTGGATCACATGGGGAAATGGATCTAATTCACGGCATTCACCCCTATTTTAGCTGTCTCCAGTGCAATTCTTAGCAATAATCAATAAAGCCAATCCCTCTGCAGCTGCCCAAGATCACAGTTTTTCTCATTAGTCAGCAATCAATATCAACCCTTAAGTTAATAATATATTATGGTGGCATTATGGCAGCTGGCCTTGTCTGTCTTTCCGATTGAAATGCACATTAAGGTTCCTTGGAATGGAAAAGAAGGCACAGGGCGGAAATCAATAGCATTGATTGCAGCATCACTTTTTGAAAAGACTGATCATCATCTTTGCTGGCTCTGATGGGAGGCTATTTTCACTCTTTGTTATTACACTCACAGGCCCATCCAGGGGGAAAAAAAAAGAATTGATTTGCTCACCTAAAGTCTGCAATAAGAGTGAATGGCATGGGATAAATGCTCTGTGGCACTCTTATGGCTTGGAAGGTGCTCTGGCCTTGTGTCTAATTGGAAAATATTTTCTAATGTTCAGTTTAAAGATGGAAAAATCCAGTCGCAAAGACACAGGCTTTAGCTGAGCACCTTAAGACTTTAAAGAGCAATATTCACAACTGTTGTACATTGGGTTGGTAGAGGCTGCACTGATGCAAACCAGATGAGGAGCTGGCTGGCTTCTCTCTCATACACATGCAATTTCAGTTTCAAGCAAGTTGCTCTTTTGTGATGATCCAGAAAGACATTGCTGATGGAAAAAAATATGGTATCATAGTAATGAACGAGTAAAAAATATGGTTATCGTAGTAAAATCCTACCTACATTCCTTTCTAATAGGATGATGAGGTTATGCTGCTGCTAATGATAGACTCCTGTGCATTTCCACAGCACATTGGGCTGTTTTCATGGACTTTTCTTTCGTGTTCAACAGTGACTACAGGTATGTGGCTGCTGCTCTTGCTGTCATGAGGAACGTGACTCTACAGATCAATGAGCGGAAGCGGAGGTTGGAGAACATTGACAAGATAGCTCAGTGGCAGGCCTCCGTTCTGGACTGGGAGGTACAGTAAATGCTCAGCCTTGATTTAGTTGCTGTAAACCTGGAAAAAGTACATTCCATGCAGTTGTTGAATTATCCAAGACCAAATGGTTCCTTTTACACAAGCTGGTTTTGGGATTAAGCTTGGGACAGAGAAGACATATTTACAGACTTTAGAGATGGTAATTAAGATTTAAAACATTAATGGTACTCTGAAGAAAATCTAGGGTCCAGTTCCAGTTTCATCCATAGAAGTCTGGAATAACTTCTGCAGTTGCAATGCTGTTGTCCTGGCAGTAAGTGAGATTTGGATCAAACGCTATATGCATTCTGGTTCTGTGCTTTGTCTTTGGGGAAGAAGTAGGGAAAAACGTAGTAAAAAGCCCTAGAAATTGTGGCAGGTTAAGAAAATAGAGAAAACTCTTCTAGTGGTTGCTGTATGATTAGAAGCCAAAACATTAAGCTGAAGTTAGAGATGCTATTTGCACATTTAAAATGAGTACCCACTTAGAGATATTTCTGAACCAAACCTATGTGTAGTGATTGTGTAATTAAGGAGCTGAGAAACATGGGCAAGGCAAAGTAAGAAGAGGGATTCCTCACTAGCAGGCCTTCAGTCTCCTACGTTTGGCCACATGTTTTAAAAAGCCATACTAAAATGATGTTACTCTATTTTCTTTTTGTCCCTGATTTTGAAAAAAATCATTGTATGAATGTAATCTGTAAATAGGGGTTTTGAAGCAGACCAAGGACAGATGTGTTTGTAAATTCCTCTCTTTGTCATTGATCCATGTGTTTAGCAAGTAGATACTCAGAGTGATGGAACAGCCTTTCTTCCTCATAGTCATGAAGATCTGGAATAACGCCGCATTCAAGTCAGTGGGATCATACTATGTAAATTAGCATATGGGAAAGATGCGTTAATCCTTTAATTATTTTTTATCCAGAAAAGATCTAGGAATGCTGGGAGGAGATAGGGAGAGAAGTACAGGTGCATCACCTTCTGATTGTGTATCCTTCTTGACTGAATTAGTTTCATTGCTATAATGAAGGTTGGATTCAACCCTGGATCTCTTGATAAAACATATAAATGCAGCAATCATAGCTGGTTCTTAAATTATGACTGGCTGTGAGAGCAGAGAATGCAAATGATTTGCTTGATTGTTTTATTGTTGTTTACTGTGAAGAAACCTCTCTCTTACTGACATGCAGACTCATTTTCAGAATTAGAAAACTGCTCTCAAGGAGGCACAGGATCATCAGATATATCTTCAGCCTTCAGTATATTCCATGTGATGAGCTAATGTGTGTCATTTGTAAGAAATGCCGAGACCCTGATTGTAAATAAATCTAGATTAAGGATGGATCAATTTCAAGTCAGTGAATATTCATGTGTGAGTGGAAAACCAAGGTGACCTCCACATAGGTTCTATGAAATAGCAGTTTCTTTTTCTCTTCCATTAGCTCAGTTGATAATTCATTTTTATTTAGCCATATCCTTGATAATTCATTCCTGCTTAGCTTTAGCTGTATCTTTTCTAATTCGTTCCTGCTTAGCAGTACCCATTCTTTATCTCCATCCTATCCTCAGGAACTTGCCAAATCATTCTTCCATGCTTGTTTTAAACTATTCCAAATTTTAAGCACAATATTGCAGTAACATTCTTCAGCTTCTTATAATGTAGCAAACCTTGCTGTTGCTACCACTCAGAGATCCAATGGGAATAAAGCTACTGCCCCCATTCAAAGGAAAACAGCATTCTTGACATGTTCATTCTGTGTTTTGCATCAAGAAAAGTCATAGAGTTGTGAGAGAACACTAGAGGATGAGAGCTAGATCCAGCAGAGGACTTCAGTGCTTGATTCTTTCTTCTGAAGTAACTTCTGAATCATCAGATCCAGCTCCCACTTCACAGATGTCCATGTAATGGCCAGAAGGATGCACAGAACTTCTGTTAACTATAGTATAATGCAGAAAGTGAGAGGGACAAATCAAAAGCTGTGCCAGGTGTTTAGATCTGTGCAGATACTCTCTTTAAGCATTGCAAACCCAAGCTGCTAACCTCCAAAAATCCCCCTCAGCTGATGTCTACCTATAAGACATGTCTCCCAGGACATAGGCCATCACGGGTTGATTTCTCACTCAGCCCGTAAGGGTTCAGGCTCTCATCTCCTACGCAGAGGTAGTTATGGAGTAGAAGAGGGTTTTCCTGGGATGGCTCCCTAGTCTCTTTCAGTCTGTGGGGAATGTGCATTTATTATCTGGGTGGGAGAGTAGAATAGAATGACTCCCAGTTTGTCTTGAGACTCAACTGAGAGTGACCTGCAGTCAACTTTGTGCTTCTACAAATGCTCACCCAGTTTATATTAAATGTTAACTGAAACAGAGAGAGGAACCCACAGCATTACTCTCCCATCTTTCTGAGGCCCTGTTTCTCTCTAATTAGAGTCTGCACCCCAAAGTGCTACCTTTCTGTCCCTCTGTGTGTCACAATGGCTTCCTGATCTCTCCAGCTGGCACAGCAGCACAAACGAGCAATAGCAGCACGGACCCAGGGCATACAGCACAGTCTTCCTTGAGACAATCTGGAAAAAACACTTAAGTACAAGAAGAACTAAGCAGGAACTAGAAGAAAAAATTATCAGTTCAGACTCTTTTTTACCAGAACTCCAGCCAGGGCACAAAATAGAGATAATCCCCAATTCTCACTGTATGTTGCACCTTGTGAACTATTTCAGCAGCAACCAAGGCTAAATCTTGAAATCTTGCATTTGGAGAAATGTCTGGTTTTCCTCAGCATCTCTAGACTAACAATGTTGACTCTCTAATTTGAAATTGCATTTTCATTTCTAAATTTACCCATGTTTTGCAATGAGATGTTGGAAAAAGATTTTTAAAGAAAAAGAAAATATCCAAACCAAACAGAAAAATATTTAGTGAATGAATATTTGAAATGTTCTTGTATACAAAGTGTGTGTATACATTTTCTTGCAAGGAGAGTGTGTTATTGAGATTTTATACATATTGCTGATGCTAAAACAAATAGAAAGAGTAGCGGGCATGTCCTAGCTAATATACCAGAAATGATTTCACTAAATCCAACGGAGTTGTGCCTGTGCGTTTCAGAAATCATTTTTATCCCTCAAGATTTTCTGCATGGCCCCATGAAGGTGAATTTCAGGGTGAGCATTTGAAAAATGCAAATATCCTTGAGGTAACCAAGGCCAGATTTTTTTTCCAAGAAGTTACATAAGCAAGGTCTGACGGTTTAAATTACGAATGGGACCAAGAAAGGCTGGCCTGACTCTAGTGGCAGCTGATAAGTGTGCTGTGGCAGCCAGGGCGTGAAGTCTTAAGGAATTATTGGCAGCTTTGGCAGTTTTATACAAGTAATGACTGAGCAGAATCTTAAGGGAAGATTCTGATCTCACTGACTGCTGTAAATTAGAAATAATCCCAATCACTTTGAACTGTGTTCCTCTATAATTTGTAGGAAGTGATCTTGACCAAAAAGCCTGAATTGGACTGTTGCCATGTATGACTCACTTCTTTATTTTGTAACCTGAATTTCCAGTATATAAACAGACCTAGAGGGATGTTGTCCCTGCCTACACCAAATTCTCTAGTGCCTTTTGTCCTTTCAGTTGTTATCGGCACAGAATATAGGGCTTCCACCACCTCCTGCTGAGACCTTTCAATGTCTGAGAGCTCTCATTGTTATGAAGTGTTTCCTGATGTTCAACCTCTATTTCCCTTCCCTCAGCATCATCCCCTTGCTTGTAGTTAAATACCCTCAGATCAAAACAGTGACATTTAAGGGCAGGCAGGCAAAACCAGCACACAAAGTTAGCTGGAGCGGGTTCAGAACAGCCTGCAAAGTCTTCTCTAGATCAGACTTCAAATAGGCCAGACTGAGCCCATCCTGGGCAGCCTTTGCATGCTCAGTCCCCCCTTGTGCTTTTGCCCTCAGAGGGAGAATTACAGATCTCAAAGGTTAGTGGGTAATATCTAGATATATATGCACACAGAACAGTACTATAAAGAGATTATTTCCACAAAGCCTGTCATAATTTCTAAGTCCTTGCAAGCCCAAGTTTTAGCAGTGCTGTATTTACGGGAACACAAATGAGGCAGCAGGAGTGAAGGAGCGGTACATCCTCGCCTTCCTCTCTATGTCTGCTCCTGTGCAGCTTTTGCTGGACAGCCATCAGGGGAGCGTGTTCATCACGCTCCTGCCCTCCCTATGGGCTCCTGCAAGCCCATGGAGGCATGCTGGTGAGCACGCTGCAGTGCCCAGCTCGCTGCGGCGCTGCTCCTGCACAGGATTTGCAAGCTTGCCACTTGCTTGGGCATAACTGTGGTGCCCACTGCAGCCTTGAGTGCAGCCACACCCTTGCTGAGTGCCCATTGCAGATTATGTGGAGATGGAAAGCAGACCTTCACTTTCACGCACCTTAGAATTGTTCTGTTTTATGCCTTTTCATACAGATCTTGAACTACATTAAAACTAAATGAAGCAGTGACCCCCTCATTATTTCAGGCTCCCTCTCCGGCCCTTGTGGCAGCTGCCATCAATGCTTTTCTCCCTTTTAGCCCAGGTTTTTCTCGGAGGAGGGAGGCTATGTGGCACCCAATAGTTTTAACTTGCTATTTAAACAGATTACTTTGGTTTCTGTAGATATCTATATATTTCTACCAAAGATTCCCATGGGTTGCCACTTTGGCAGGTTACAAGAGTATTAAATTTACATGAAGGGAAAAATATATATAATTGAGCAGTATAATGGACACTGTCTTTTTAAATTGCTTCCCATTTTTGTTATTTACAGGTCCTTTAAATCAAGACTTGGTGCCCTTAATTATGTAATATATAGTAGTTGGCCTCAGCTTAATATTATGTTACTGAATCCAAGAATGACATGAAAAAAAAGATGCACGCAACCAATGTACTGTTTTCAAAGTGATTTTTTTTTTTTTTTTTTTCTTCTTCTTCCCCACCCCCCAGCAACAGAAGGTATCAAAAAATGAGCCTGATGAAAAGGACAACATTTCTCTCGCTTCCCTTTTTCTGATCTTTCTGTAGCCCAGAGTGCTAATCAGCCTGTCAGTCTCTAATTAAAGAACAGCAGTGTCAGGCAGAAGAGAGCCCTGCTCGCTGAATGTTAACTAGTAAAGGGGATTTTGTGCCCAGCAGTGACAGCAAAGAGCCATGTCAGGAGGTGGGCTCGGGCACAGGGGAGCGGGTCTGACGGGCTGTTGAGCATTTCTGAGCCTGGGACAGCATCTGCTCAGGGACTGCTCATGGGAAGAAGGAGCAGGGCAGACTGGGAGATGTAACGTGCTGCAGCTTGCAGTGCCATTCCTTGTTATGTTGGTGCTCCCAACAGCATTTCTTTCATGACACTACTAAAAACCCTTTGGTTCCTCCCAGTTCCTTGTTACAGACAGTGGTGGTCACCTATAGCATAACTGGAGGGGCTGATGATCGACATCTTTCCATAGCAGCAGCAGCAGCAGCAGAGCTGCCCCTCTGCCGCAACAGTCAGGATTAGCCCTAGGACTTTATATGTCTTTCTAGTGCTGGCAGGCTTAAGGGAGCATGAAGCACATGTCCAGCCTAGATCTGGGTGACCTTCTCCTGCCATTACTGCACGCTACGTAGTTGTACTCTGCCTGTGACCGCATGAAGAACAGAGGAGTCAGCTTTCTTTTTGCTGCCCTTTGTGTGTAGCAGGATGCACAGTGAAAACCCCTGATGCAGGCTGGGGAGGGCTGAATTTTTTTATTATAGTCTTATAGGACACCTTAGGTTGAAAGACATCTCAGGAGGTCATCTAGTCTTCTCTTGGCCATTTTGCTGCTGTGCTCTGCTGAAGTCAGTAGGACATGTGACAGTTCAGAGTAACTAAAAGTTCAGCCTCTTCTTTTTTTTAACAGTATTTCTCTTAATTTACAGAAGGATATAGATGATCAAGCCTCTTTAGGAGTTGCTTGGAAAAAAATGGAAAAGAGAAAGGAAATGTTTTCCTAGTATTGTATAGGATTGGAGGGATCCAAGCCTAGGACTGGCTTCAGAGGAGGGCTGGGAGAGGCATTGTGGAAAGCCTGCCTCAAGTCAGGAGCAAGTATCAAGGCATGCTGGGGTAGTCATGTTAGCAGTGGAGCAGAAAAGCAAACGCTTCCCTCCTTGCCTGCCACCCTGCAGCTGACCCCATGAGCCCCCTGGGTAGGGACGCTGTGCTAGCAGAAGATGGGTCATGCTGTTCAAAGAGGTGGTATAACTGTGTCGGGGAAAAAAAATGTCTTTCAAGGTTCATTGCATCTGCTCTAGGAGGCTCTTGCAACGCAGGCACACTGGTGTATTACTGTAGCAGCTGAGGGTTTGAGGAATGGGCAGGGCCATGGAGATGCTGCTCTTGGGTGCTGAAGGCTGGCCAGCCGTGCGCTAGGCCAAAACTATTTACAATATATATATCCAAATTTGCTAAACCCAGCATTGGAAATCATCTATTTCTAGCCTATAGACTGTATATATAAATTGTTTTCCCAACAGAAAAGAATGCAATACAAATCCTATCATTTCAGATCTGAATTTTTTTGTTTTATATTGCTTGCAGGGACTATACAGTTTGGATTCAGCTAATCAAGTAGAAGTGTTTACAGAGTCCTCTGTGTGTCCTCAGGCTTGAGATGCTACCAGAGGAGTACAAGACAAAACTGGCTTTCTATTTTTAGCAGCCAGCCTCCTCTAGGCTCGCCCCCTCTCATAAAAGCTCCCATCCATAGGCTTGTGTGAATCTTCTTCATATAAGCTCATGTTTAGCCAGGAAGGCCCACAATTTCTGGAGCTGGTGTGTTTTCTTCAGAGGCTTCTCATTCAAGGGCTTGCTTATACCTGAGCCATCGCAGCAGCACGTGGGTCCCTGGTTTCTGGCAAGGAGGTCCCGCAGCTGAAATAGGATCCTGACACCACACTCTTGAGACATTGCATGATGCACGGCCCATCCCTCTGGGAATGACCCTCTGTGTTCCTCCGAAGTTATCCCTAATTAGGTCTTCAGATACTACAGCCACAGAAGTGAGATAGAGAGGTGGATAAATATCTACCTCTCTAAGGCGATTTGAAAGTCTGTGCTGCAGCATGATGATGCAGTGACTTAATGAAGTTGCTGTTGTCACAGGGCCCAGGGACTCAGGCAGTTGCTTCCAATCAATGCTGAAAGGTTAATTACACGTTTACCTGAACAGCAGTCTGAAATCCTCACCAAGAAATAAGGAGTTGGGGGTGACTCTCGGTTGCTTTGGCACCTACAAGTGTAAGCAGTATCAGAAAAGCATGTCTATCTAGATATCCCCCATAGATGGTTGAACCTTTACAAGCTGTTTGCTGAGGTTTTGGGATGGTCTTGTCCCAGAAATTGGTTCTAATTTGGCCTCAGAGCCAGACTGCACTAGTTTCAGAAAAAAAAAAAAAAAAAAAAAAAAAAAAAAAAGCTTTTCACTTGCTCCTGAATCTTGCTCCTTACATTTTAGCTGAAGTCATTCGGATTCCTTCTGTGGTGTTTCAGAGTGAGAGTTACACTGAGATGCCCACAGGGCAGGTGGTGGTGAATTCACCCATTTTTAATAAATAAATTTTAATTAACTTTTTAGAAAGTCCAGCTCATCCCAATTAGTGGAGGGTGACTGCATTTGTTCTCTCAGAGAGTGGGAGAGCGAGCGCTGTGTTTTCAGGACCATCTGCTCATGAGTCCTTAAAAAAAAATTGGAGAGGAAAACAAGCATTAGCTGGAGGCAGAGAAAGGGTGAGGGCATTCGGGCATCCAGCCAGGGAGGCCTTGCCAGCCAGGGGGGCTGGGGGCTGCCAGCAGAGCCAGGGTGGTCCTGACAGTTCTTGGAGAAGGGGAGCTCTAATGAGCTATGGGAGAAGGGACTAATTGCCTGAATGAGTGCGAAGAGAGGAAACTATCTTGAGGGGTGAGTTTTGGCAGCCTCACAGGTGGGAAAATTGATGTCCCAGTGTAGATGACTTTGGTAGCTGGCCTGAGATTTCAGGAGGGGATGTGCTTTGGGATGCTGTTTTAAAGTGAGGAGGTGCCAGGGGATTTATTACCCTGAATACGAAGTGGCTCTGTCATGGGCAGGAGGAAGGGCCTTTGCTCTCAGGATGCCACCAGCACCTGCAGCAAGATCCAGGGCCTGGGGGTACCTGGAGAGCAGGGAATGGGGACAGTGCCTGGAGCAGCTCTTTCCTCATTGCAATGGGAACTGTAATGACTGTGCTTTGAGTGTCCACACTTACTTTATTTGCTTCCCTTCCTTCAGAATTATCCCCTATCTCCGGTTTCTGGTCTGAAGTCAGATGGGGTGGCTTTGAGAGCTGCAGAAGGGCCAAAATCTTATTTGATTATTGCTTCTCCCCATCCTGCAAAGAGAAACGTATCCACTGCCCTGGCTGGGAGCGGCGGTTCACTCGGCCTCGTTCTCTGTGCCCTCTAGGGTGATGATATCTTGGACCGCAGCTCAGAGTTGATCTACACGGGAGAGATGTCCTGGATTTACCAGCCTTATGGACGGAACCAGCAGCGTGTTTTCTTCCTGTTTGATCACCAGATGGTTCTCTGCAAGAAGGTAAGGACATCCAGGGAGAAAGCAGCATGGCTAAGGACATGCTGCGGACAGGCTTTCCAGTCCAAAGTGGTTTTTAGGGCAAGGTGGCTGTTTGATACACGTGCAGAAGAGGACATGGATAGCACTGAGGAAGGGCAATCCACGTGCTAGAAATACTGAATTACAGGATGGTGAGTATACTGTGATAGAGGGATTTTTATGCTTGTAATAAATCCAGCCTCTGCTTGTTCATTTCATGCCTTTTTCTCATGTGCCCCTTGTTTGGCTTGTTGCCTCTCTTCTACTTTTGGGTTTTGGCTGCAGCATGTGATCTGGGATTAGATAGCCCTAGAATTTCCGTATAAACTATGAAACCTGGCGCTTGGGCAGACAACTCAATTATTGCATTAAAATGATGATCGTTGCCTCTCAAAGATATATCAGGCAGCAGCCTGGTCTGTAGCAGGGTGTTTGTGCTGTCACTTGGTCAAATGCATTTTAAGCCTCATTCTCACGTAGCTACTGTGCTGGATTTTATAGGGTATATCTCTGCCATGAAATCCATCATGAAAGTAGAGAAAGGTAGTGAAGAATCCTGATGTTAATGTGTTGTAGTATTAATAGCAGCAGGTGAACTGTGTTTCAGAGCAACTGTGTTAAGCAGCAGTATCATAGCTGTATTGCTGTAGTCCCTCTAAAGTGATCCCAGCTCATTAACGTGAGGTGACAGAGCTTATAAATCCTGGGTGCCTCTGTCTTCCGAGAGAGGGATTCATTGGCATTTGCACTGTGACTACACAGATAACTGTGCAGAGGGAGTCTCCTGGACCAGCTTCGGGTGGGAGTGAGGGTGAGCTGCAGACGTCTCTGGCCTAGCACACCAGGGCTGTGTTCCTGTCACATCTCATATGCTAAGGAAAGGTTGAGCAAGACCCACGCCACGTGGCAACCCTCCGAGGAGTGCCTTGCCTGCCATAGGAAGCGGCGTGGGTGGGGGTGTGGGTGGCTCCTGACTCACCACGGCATCACTGCCCGCTGCTGCGGTACGCGGAGCTGCGGCCTGTGCAGTTCAGTGGGTGGCAGTTTCTTCTCCTGAGTCATGGTTGACTGAAATTTTGCCTTCTGGAATGCATGTGCTTATTTTTCCTCTCCTTGGTGCTGTGCCTCTTACTTCTTTCCCAGCTCTGTAAAAAACAATAACCACAGAGCAACAATAACAAAGTCAGATGTTCAGAGAACTGTCAAAATGAATCTGGAAGTATGCAGCTGAGTTTAATTTTTAATCTTGACCTCCTACACTTTGATTGTGACCCTGAATTTCCGATTCGTTAGGCAGCATCCAGTTTGGTTTGCTCTGGGTCTGATCCAGAGGTGTCAAGCATTCCCTTAACTCCCACGAAAATCAGAGCTGGGATTTCCGTGGTCATCAGCATGAGTGGAGAGCGTTCAGCAATTCACAGCAGTCTGCTGGGGTCTTGAAAGGTTCTGTCAGTATGCAAACAGTGTTAGTGTGACACTGTCCTCTTCCCCTGTGGATTCAAAAGGCATTTTGTGGTGTGTGAGTGTGGCATTGCTGCACAGGGGATGCCTTCCCAGAAAAATGCCCTGTGGATTTCAGCTGTCTTGGAGCCAGCACAGTGCTCTGGGTCTTCCTGGCAGAGACTGGCTCCATATCAGGATCTGGCAAGCTCTTCTGCCACTAGTTGAGGTCTTGTGGGACTGTGTGCCCACTGAGCTTTAGAGTGACAAGGCAGAGGGTGGTAACTCATCTGGTGAGCCCAGTATCAGATATCCTGAGAGGCTCTAGAAGACAAGCATATATTTCAAACAAGATCTCCCACTCCTCCAGATCTTCATTGCAGTTATCTGCACATCATCCTCCCCTTCATTACCTGTTGTCTCCCTGGTAGATGTTTACAGCTGCAATACCTCTATGCTTTTGAATCCCCTAGTAATGCATACGGGTTCTGTGCCTTGACAGATACTGATACATGAGTTTCTGATGGAACAGATACAGTTCGATATCATAAGCTCTGTGACAGTTTTGGATTTTGGTATTCTCTGTCATTCCCTTTGAACTCCACTGTCAGCAAAACTTATTACACAGTGGGCTGACACTGCAAAGACCGTCAGATTCCTGCTCACTGGTTCGTGTGATGGAAGATGAAATAATTTCTATGTGGCAAAACTGTCTGGAATCAGACTCATGCCAATAGGCTAAGGTGAGGTGTTAGTGGCATTTGCTGATACAAAATGCATGTTAGGTCCAGGAAGATGGATGTGAATTCCTTCAGTATCTGGAAGAGTGCTGGTGAAAGGCAGGTTTTTCTTTGTTACAAAAATTTCATCATCATTCTGCTTCTAGCCAACCAATATGCTGCATATATCAGTCCCAAGAGGGCACACTGCTAAATACAGGCCCTCAACCCCTGTTTCTGTCTGTATTGCAAGCTGCTGATCCTTTGGGCAGGCTGCATTGCTGCTGACCAGGCAGACCATTAAAAAATTCTATTTATAGCCAAGGTAACAACTCATTTTGTACCTATTATTTAAGGTGAGTGCTGTGTGCAAAATAACATGTCATCCCACCCCTGTGTAAGTTTGGGTTTCTTCATAGCAGTTTGCTGTCAGCCAGTAAACAATGAGGAATGCTCCAGTTCAACCGCTCTGTGTCCTTTGTGTCACTCTAAAGACAAGGCACAGTCCACACTCTCTAAAACTATCTTTGTTTCTACCATCTTCAGTTGGATCAGGTGTGGTCCATCAGCTTTACAGGCAGATGGCCTAGGAAGGCTTCAGCAGGACTCCTATCATGTACTACCAAGAATTACCACGTTTCTTTTTCCTACTGATGCACCCGGTGATGCCTTTATCTAAGGAATAAGGTCTGTTGGCTATGGAGGTATTTCTAGTATCCAGCTATCTGCTTTCAGCAGCACTCCAAATAAACCCTTGTCTGCTTTGAAGATGGCCTACTTTCCAGAAGCTTTGCCATCTCTTTCTGTTGATGTCTGAAAATGTTTCAAGGTTATGGGGCCTTCATTTGTTGGACATCTGGCCAAGACATTTCTGTGAGGGAGGATAATTCTCAGGGTGATTCTAGTTGTTCCCCTGCTTGATACGCCTGCAGAAGATCTTCAGTAATGCCAAGCCAGCCATCTGACAGGCAGGAGCTCACTGATCAACATTCACTGTATTTATTAGTTATTCCCAAGTATTTCAAGCAAGGTACAGCATCAGCCTGGCCTTTTGAAATTGCAGGTGTCCACCAATCTCTGCAGGTTGGAATTACCCCCTTGTATCCTATTGCTCACTCATAAAGGTGATATGCTGCTCAGCAGATGGGTAGGATGGTCTGAGAGCTGCTGGTGGTAGCAGCTCCTTCAACATGAACATCCTTGTTATCTTCCCACTGGCTGCATCCCCTAGGATTTTTCCAAGGACTTTTGCAATGTGAGCTGAGCCAAGGGTCTGTCTGACAATGGGCATATGGACAGCTGGGTGATTACCTGGTTGATGGTTTGTTTGCATGAAAAGAACCAGGTACTAGTATAGTCATTAATATGACTATATTGAACTGCGGGACTATATTCATATGACTATAATAAACTAGTCTTTAATATAGTGCATCTGTCAGGAAAGGAATGATGGCACCGGTCAGATCCAGGAGCAAATCTCCAACCCTTTCCTGGTTGTCAGTGTAAGTTCCACCTCCTCAGACTGAGAAATCCTGAATGCATTTCCATGGCCACCACATCTTGGAGAACTGACTGGACTTCAGACAGGGACCTAGTTTGTGAAAATGAGTAATTATAAAGGGCTTCATTCACATGTGCTTGACAGATGTTATCTCCACCAGTATGGATATATTTAAGTCTTTTTTCCAAGTAGGAAGCTTGCACTAAGATTTGCGAGGGCTGCATGAATAAGAGCAGCAGGAGCAGGTGGAGAAGCTGACGCTATGGCAGCCGGCTTTCATTTCTGGCAAACACCTTGCAAAGCAACTTGTGTGGGAAAATTTTCACAAATAAAAATGGTTTCTGAGCTTTACATATACGTTTGGTTTAGATTTTGCCATCAAAGGCAGCACTGGTCGCTTCCTTAATATCACCGCTGAATTATTTTCTGGTGCTAGGAAATGCGAAGTTGAACCAGATGAAATAGCCATGTCAGCCATTTCGAACTGAATGCTGAAATACCAGGGAATGTAGGTAGCTACTGCAGAACATATCCAGAACCTCTTAAAAAGGGGAGCACTGAGTTAGTTTGGATGTCTACAGTTCCGATAAACAGCCATTGGGAGAGCTCCTGATTTAGATTTTCTTAGCAAAGCTGGGTAACTTTCAGCTATTGGATTAATGTCAAACTCTCCTAATGAATTTCCTGCCTGGGTTTTCTGAACCAGAGGTTGCAACATTGTGGTGTGCATGAGTACAAAGTGGTGCTTTCTTCCGAAGAGACTGTCGGTTGGTTACCGTAATGCAAAAATGCTTTTGGGAAAGGAAGAAGGGAATAAACTGTGTAGGAAGCAAGCACTGGCCTCAGCTTGCCTTACCATGTGTCTGTTATCAGGAAAAAAGAATGCATTCCAGTATGCTAACTGGAATTACCAAAAAATTAAGTCAATCCTTGATGATGGTAGTATTAAAAGATGTTGTCTTAAAGGCACAAGGTCTGTTTTTCTTCTCACCCTGAAATAGAGAGAGTGTGACACAGAGATGCTTTAAATTTGCAAATCATAGTACTTACCATCCAGGATTGTGACACACAGTATTAATTATGATCATAGCTTGCTATGTTGGGGGATGCTCAAGGTGCTTATCATGTAATAGATGAGGATCTCCTTTTTTCTGTTCTTGGTAGTAGTTTGGATTTCCCCAATGGGCTCGAGAGCGCTGTGGCATTAGGCTGGAAATGACAGTATAAAGTCTGAAGGGTTAACCGAGTTTCTGCACCAAATTATGCTTTTCTTTCACCATTGGTCGAACGGTCCTTGATGGGGCTCTGTGTTTAGTGTTTTC